TCTTGAAGTTGCATCCTTGTGTTGAATAGAGAAACAAACTTTAATAATAATTTCTGGTGTAAATTTTCACCATTTTGATGAATGGAGGGAAGCTGCTTTACTTAAAATTTACGATGAAAAATCTAAAAATAGGGGCAAGCTTTATTTGGTGGAAAACCTGCAACATTCTGATGATAGGAGAAGCAAGCTATATTGAAAATGTCTGGTGGAAAATGGAAAAAGGAAATCTGCACCAATCAGAAGATTGAAGAAGCAATTTTTATTGAACATTAACGGTGGTAAATTTACATCGTTCTGATCAATTGAAATTTTCTGGTAGCAAGATTGTATTGAAAATTTCTGGTGTTAGATTTGCAACAATCTGCTGTATGGAGAGGCCTGATGTAAAAATTGCACAGTTCTTGTGAATGGAGGGGCAAGCTTTGTTAAACAATTATGGTAGAAAAACTACAACGATTTGGCGAATGGGCGGACAACTTAAACTTGATTTCCGAGAAGAACCTCAAGGGTATTGAATTCTGAGGACAGTTCTATAAGAAAAGATTTCTGGGGATGATTCTAGAAATGACACTAGAAATTATTCGCAGAAGAATACCGAGAGAATCAAATTTTGAATGAAATTCCAAAGAAATCTTGAGAAAAATTTCAAGGGAATTCAGAGGACAATTTCAAGCTCATTCGGGGAAGCCTTTCTGTAGAATGCAGAGGAAATTCTTCTGAAACTTTTAGGGAATTTCAGTTTCAAGGTGTTCTGAGAAAAAAAGTTTTAAAATATTCCGAGAAGAATCTCAAGGATATTGAATTCTTATGACAGTTCCAAAATATTTCTGGGGAGGATTCAAAGAAAATTCTACAGATAATTTATAGTGCGTTTTGCAGATAGTTCTAAGACAATTTCGAAAAGAATACCGAGAAAATCCAATTTTGAGTGTGATTTCTAAGGGATTTTAAGCAAAATTTCAAGCGAATTTCGAGGATATTTTTTAGCTCATTCAATTCCAATGTGTTCTGAGAAAAAATCATGAAGAGTTCTAAATATAATTCCAGTGGACTTCAGAGAAGAATTTTAAAAGAGCTCTTAGGAGAGTTCATAAAAAATCCGAGAAGAACATCAAGGACATTGAATTCTGAGGACTGTTCTAAAGGATTTCTGGGGATTATTCCAAGAAAATTCTGCGTGCAATTTCTAGTAAATCCTGCAGATAGTTCCTAAATAATTCCGAAAAGAATACCGAGAAAATTAAATATTGAGTGAAATTCCAAAGGGATTTCGAGGAAAATATCAAGGGAGTACCGATAATTTCTAGCCCATTCCAGGAACATTTTTTTTAGGAAATTCTTCTGAAACTCTAAGGGAGTTTCAGATCCAAGGTGTTCTGAGTAAAAGTCAAGAAGAGTTCTAAAAATAATTCCGTAGACTTCTGAGAAGAATTTCAAAAGAGCGCTTAGAGTTCTAAAAAAATTCGAAAAGAACCTCAAGGAAATCTGAGGATGGACTTTTTCGCAACTGTACAAAGTTTAAAGACAGCTTTTGGATTCTCTAATTGAAAAGTGGGTATTAGTTTACCATTGAACCTTGGTCTATTGTTGTCTTACTAAAAAATCGCCTTAGAATCATCTCTAAAAATTTCAAGTCATTTGTTACCGTGGTTAAAAAGCTACAGCTGTTTATGTGCGTTGCGATAAATTCGGATTGGTCTTTTAAATCATCTTTAAAACATGTTGAATGTTCGGCATCATTTTCTGTCATCCCGACTGACGGTACTTTGGGACGGTTCATCATCGTCGATGCGATTAAATTGCCAATTTCCGCAGTTTGCATAGAAGAAGATGAACCACCACCGTAGCAAAAAATAAATAAAATTAGCTAAATTAAACAGTAGAGAAACAGTGGTGGGTGGACAGCACCATCTCCCACGCACTTTGGAGTACTCTTCATCCCCAGATTAAATGCACAATAGAAAAAAAAATCGGGAGGAGATTTAAACGTTTGTTTTTGAGAATTTTAGAGTGAACCAGTTCTTGACTTCCATCTGGTACAACAATAAGTAACATTTCCCCAACGTGACGAAACTTTTAGCTCTGAAAAAGGAATTCTTTCAAATCAAATTGCTCTTAAAATAGTCCAGTTCGACTACTAAAGGCACTGCTGTGAAATAATCTGTGCTTCTGGACTCTAACTAGAACACACTTTATTCAGCTCTATAAGGAAGCGCAGAGCAATAGCAGGGGGGATTATCAAAGAGTTGCTTCCATGTAGTTCTAGGATTTTGTTCTGTATATATCCGTTGCATGGTTATCCAGACTCCAGACCACGGATGTGCTAACGGATTCAATTCAGATATCCGAATAGTTGTGATACAAATTATTATATTGTTAACACAGGGTCGTCTTAACCACCCTTGGGGCCCCTGGTCTATTTTTTTTTATTGAGGACCATCAACCTTCAAAAATGCAGACCTTGTGAAAATGCATAATTTAGAGTATCGACACTACAGCCGTTTCACTCAAACACACATGACAAGTAGAATAAGCAACAATTTGTAATTCCTGTATAAACCGAATAAATTACAAAACTAATGTCAATCAGTTTCGATCAGCAGTCCTTTCTGCTACCTACTTTCGTTTACTACCATAGTTTGGATACCGCATAGTAAAATAAAGCCTTCTCCACTAGAGATCGCTCGTTTGTCCACTGATATCGATACCATGATTGTTTAACCTGCTACAGTTCGATGCAAATACAAAACCAACGAGCAATTAATTTCTTGAAACATAATATTGAGAAGCATATGATTGATGTCTTCTTGATTCCTTTATTTAACGTCGGTCTCTGTTCCGCAATCTAGTGCCAATCACCGACGGACATCCATTGCCATCCATTGACGTCAATCGAATGTGCAGGAAGACAGCTTCCTCACCTGCGTAGGATATTGCACCCATTCATCAAACATGAGCCAGGACCAACAGCTTTACTTTCCTTCCGAAGGAAGACGTGACCAGAGATTCGTATGCCTCAGAAAAATCCCACCGACCTCGGCTCGGATTGAACCCAGATCCATTGGGGTGAGAAGCAGTCACGCTTACCACTACACCACCGGCGCCGGCATGATTGAAGTCTCTGAGCTTTTAATGTATTTTCCTAGATGAATGCATCTTCTGGACGGCAAAAATAGCAATGTTTCGAAGCTGACCGAAAAATATGTACTTCCAAATTTATGCTACGACTAATCAGAAAAATCGCGGACCAGTCACGGAATCACAGACAGGTCAATAAATATTTCGCAATATCTGTATTAGTATTCAAAATGCATTTAATTTTATCAAGTTATATGCTGCGCATTGTTGGTGTAGTAGACTCCTGCACTAAAAATAATCCCCAAAAATTAAATATTTAGATTGTAATACAGCGCTAAATTTGAAAAATATTTATTTATAATTTGTGTGCCCTGAGCGAAACCATTTATGAGGCATTGTTTTTAGATTAGGACGAAATAATATTTCATTATTGATGAGATAAAGACACGTTTATTTAAGCCGATCAATTTAGCTAAAGCAAAGCAAAGCTAAGCTAAAGTGAATAAAAGCAAGAAATTTGTTTGACGAAAATTGACCCAATTTTACAAAAAACTGTCCCAATTTTATGAAATATGATATATTAAATCAGATAGGATAACAAACGGAGACCTTATTTCAAGCACAAAGTTTTTCTCTGGAAAAATGCAAAAAATGATCATTGAAAGATACTCTTAAGCTTATGTTTGAAAAAGGGTATTGGTCTTAATCCACTACAGTACACAGTACAGTTCTATTAATTAAATGTCAGTTGTACAGTGGCAAGTGACATTCAAAGTACATCTGAATTTTCTTAACATTTGGATTGCGCACAGTTTTGACCGAAAAGTCGTCTTTTATTTTTCTTTAGTGGGCTTTTTGATTTAATTTCCGTCCTACTAAGCACAACCCCCGCTTCACCTTTCTTTTTTGACCGGGTTTGGACAAAAAATTGAATATTTCTGTCAAAGATGACTTCTAAATGTATTCACCTTTCCGTACGTACCGCTGGATTTGATAAAGAGTCACAAATTGTTGAGATATCATTTAAAATCTAATGCTGCTTGTTGATTCTAAATTCGTCCTACGAGTTTTAATCCCGTCCTAACGCATTGAAACGTCATTATATTTTCTTCGTCCTATGGAAAAACGTAGAAAAAGGGGTTTCGCTAGGAGCGCTTCTTTTGTTTTGGGAACAATGAGCGTGAATATTCATACAATGCGCTCAAATAGGAATTATGTTTTAGCTAATGAACTAACGCATCGGAACAAACCTATTATTGATTTGTACCCGGTGAAATCATTGATAGTATTGATCTTTTTAGCTCGATAGAACGGAAATTGGCGATTACGACGAAATAGCGCTCTACTCTATGAGGGAGTGACATTAAATTATTCTGCTCCGGCTGTTATAGCTCAACTCGACGCCACTGGTTTTGCATACAAGAATTACAACTATTCGATTCTATTGGATATCTGAATACATATCTGGATATCCCGCAAATCTTATCATTTTTTTATCCGGCTATCCGGTTGATCCAGATTTTGGATACCTGTCGGATATTCGTATTATAAGGATATTTTTAACCGGACAGTCCCAGCACTAATTCTTTGTACAGAAAATTCCAAAGCAAATCAATCAACATTCAACACACTGCCATTAAACCGAAATTGTCCGCTGGCGAGAACAAGTTCCGGAATTAAACCTGCATAAACAATCCTAGCAGCGCTTCCCTCGTGAACCTAAAAGTGCTAATTTAAAGTGCCCATTATCGAAAGCATCACGCCGAAAAACGAATTCCAGACTGCCCCAACCAGCACCATTCGCTCCGCATTGGAATGTTTTCTTTAGACAACAATGGTTTAAGCTCATTTTCTCGAACGGGGAAGCAAAACACAACAATTTTCAAGCTTAAAAAATCTCCGAAGTATGTTTTGGTGCTTACGTTTTGTGTCCTTCTTCGCGCCTCCTTGTCTCCCCGTTGAATGGACGAGTTTCGTTCCTGTTTCGCTTCACCAGAACCTCTTTAGCCCTTCACGAACGAGTTTCAGAGTAAGAGAAGAGCGATACTTTTGTTTCTATTCAATAAAATGTTAATCCTCTTTAAGCAATCCTTGCGATCGTTTTTCCCGACACAATTCTGAGAAAGCTAGCTCACTCCTCCTGTGAGTTATGCAGCACTGATGACACGTATACTTGCACACAAACAACTTTACATACACATGGATATTCACTGATTTCTTCTGGCTCCTGTCCGGAGGTTGAATCTTTTATTCAACGAATTCAATTTGAGAATCCTTTTTCCTTGGCGTGATTTTTTGTTGCTTCTATATTTTGGCACACTCACTTTTACATTCACATATTTGTGCGTACATGCACATTCGGCTCAGTGGACGAAATTTGAATCTGTGTCACACTGTAGTACGAATCGGGGAATTTTTTTTTTATTATTTGGTTGTTACTACTCCGTTGTAGCACGACTGCAAGAGTGACTATTTTGTGGGTCGAATCGACTATCTCTGGTTATAAATATTTACCACAGGCTAAACATGCACACAGACGTAGCTATATAGAAGGGGTACGAACAATTCAGATTCTGCTAGCTGGCTGGCAAATTGGAATTCTCTTCTCAGTTTTTCCGACAGTTTAAGCACTAGCGCCGACAATTTGTTGTTTCTATTTAATTTTACGTTTTATTTTGTGTTGTATTCTACCGACGGCTTATTTGTTTGCTTTAGATTTCTTACACAAGCACGATGCTTTCACCAGCTTCATGAGAACTTTATGCACTTTCACTTGTAGTAAACTTTCTTTGTTTTATAAAATCGACAGAATCTTTATCGAAAAATGAAAACAACTAAGCATAAACATAACACCAGCGGTGGCACTCACACGATTTTCAATTTTTCCGTTAGTTTTCCTTCCTGGATTTCCGATATTTTACCCTTTGATGATGGTCAATTTTCCATTCAGTAGCACGTTTTCCAAATTCCGTCAGTTGGAAAAAGGGTCAAACCACAGACAGCCTGTCAATGACAGGGCAACGAACCGGGATCCTGGCAGCTGTCTTGGCCACCGTAGCCATTAATCATCTTCACCGATTTCCTGAATACCGTACGCACACTGTTCAGGGGTCGAAGTTCTTTTCTTTTTCACTTGTTCAGTTTGCTCGAATTTCCCACTCTCACATTTCCCATGCTCGGTAGGGATATATGAATGAGGCAAGATGATTCCAGAACACAGACAAAAACAGAAGCGAGGAAAATCTCGGCAAAGATAATTTATCTCACTCGAGCACTGGATATACTCTTCCTTATACACAGAGTGCAGAAAAGTTTATGGGAAAATCGATTCCGGTTGCAGTTTCTTCCGGAAGTTCTTCCGCTTCAGTAAATGTCTTCAATATTTCCATAAATTTGTCCAGCAAATGATTGCAGAAAAGTTTTGTGAACGAGAAATGCACCTTAACTTCCAATAACGTCTAATCCTGCTGCAGAAGCCTTTCGAGGCAAGCCAGGGCACGAAAGCAACGAGAGAAACCCGCAGTGCAAGATGCTCGCGTATCGCTCGCAAGGAAAATACTGAATTTTCCTTTCACTGCTGCAACGACGGGATGTCCTACAACCCGGTTTCCGTGGACCAGCCAGCAGCGATATCAACAACAAAAGGATCGCCTCGCTCAAACCCGAACCGACGGCACCCGTTCGGGAGGGTTCGGGTTTTCCCGCCCGCGGTAGCAACTACTCTCGCATTCTCATGCGGAGCGAACCGTTTTTCGTGGGAGAGCAGGGCAGAAAAAAACAAACATAATTTTCCCATTGATAAGACTCTCACTATGTACGATTGGAGCATGCTGCAGTTGATAAAGGACCGTAAAAATGCATCTCTTTCGCGAGAGGGAGAGTGAGTTCCATTCTCATATATACACTTTCGAACTGTGAGAATTATTAACCACGTGACACTTAATGCACTGCAGCACGATGTCGTACTTGGACGCTACATGTTTTTGTATCATCACATCACAACAGAACTCCGGAGAAATATGTTAGAAACTTACTACCCAATGTAGCAGCAGAGATAAAGAGAGAGAGTGAGTGATTTTTTTTTCCTTTATGTTGGTTACGTCTTTTATCAAAATTATATGTTTATTTAAGAAGGGAAAGCGGGCAGCTTCAGTAGCACATTCTGTTCCCGCCTATCAAGTCTTTGCTGGAAAAATGTCTTAAGGGTAGCACCGGTACAAAAAAAAACATATCGACATTATTAGGGACAGTCAGCTTTATGTATCGGTCTTTGCATAAATGGTATAAGCTGTATCGCCTAACTTTTCTCAACGAACGAACGACCAAGCGTTACATTGCTCAGTCCCCCAAATACCGGAAATACTCAGTTTCTTTTCAAACCTGCAAACGACTTAAGTGCCACTCCTTACCGGAGGTCGAAAGCGGAAATTATTTCAGGGATGCCCGGCCTGAAACTCCCAATCTGCGGGCGAGTCAATCGAAACGTCATACAACCAATAATCTAACTCAAAATTACTCAAAATCAATTACGAGAAACTTAATTTTTAATTAAAAACGAACGCAAACTACTCTCATGGATCATTTGAAATTCTGACCCGGGGTTTATTTGAACCAGTCTAATCTAAACAATGAGCTCAAAGATGTCCTAAGCAGTGATCACTGACCTGTTTTCATAACCCTTTACCATTCATAGGCCGTGCTGGTGCTGTCGGAGTGGCTCCTCTACGACGAGACGAACTCTACATCTGCTACGGATGGTTGTGCAAGCTAAGCGAGAACCCTCGCGCGCGTAACGCCTGATGACTCACCTTCTCTCGAACTTGACGACGAGAGGTTAGAATCTGCCGGCGGTTTGGTACTAATATTTTCCGAAGGATGCGGTGGGTGGTGTTACGAGGTGGACGGAGTAAATGTGTCTCTGTATTAGGGGAGTGCAGGGTAACGTTTTGTTCGGTCTCGAGGACCACGTGTAGTGTTCACGGATATAGTCTACCACCTGCTTTATCCAGGACCGCTATTAGCCTTATTAGCCTTATTATAAGGGTCTTACAAATTGCACAATAGAAAAATTAACGACTTATTTTTCTTACCTTGTTCTAAATACTACCAATGTTCACTATTTTTTTGGGTTCAGCTTATACAATTCACTAAAGTAAACTATAATACATAATTTAATACATTTTTAGTTCAAATGCTTTTTGAATGTTTCAAACTCACTTTGATCTAGGCTTTTCCAAAAATTCACCACTAAACCAATTCAAACTTTTCTTTACTATTTCAAAACTTATTCCGCTTTATAAAAATCGAACCGAACAATCTAAGCACTCCAACAAAAGTGATTTGAAAGTGTTCTGGGTTTATCCTTTCAAGTCCCATGACCTTGGATTAACCAATCAAATTTATTTGCGTCGTTTAAATCAAACCCAAAGACAAAACGTAATAGCGTTTGAGTGAGGCAAATTCATTTTATTGCGTCGTGGAAAAATTAAATAAAAACTTTTCTATCGATCGCCTATACACTGGAAGATCAATTCGAGCAGTTTGGGATGGTACTGTGTTGGTAGGGTATCGAGTAGCTTAAGCCGGGTGCAGTCTAATAAGTATAATTAAAAGCTAAATGTTTATTAAATGCTGTTGGGTTGTAAAGTTATCGATACAAAGCTCAGACAGCACCCAGGTAGCATGATCATCTAATTAAGAGTTATTAAAAAAAACAAATGGAAGTGTTTTTAAAAACTACATCTCGAGTAACTTTTCAAACAGAATATTGCACTTCGCTCGTCATATCCCTAGAAAATATTGCATTACAGCTAAAATCGCTACCTCCTTCATCACAGTTTCATAATTTATGAAAAATTAAGCTGTAATTGCTCTGATTTCATGTTCAAGCTAATATCAACGATACTAGGCCGAACACTATTGGGCCTGCTTGGGTTGATTCCCACGTGGGATGGATTGGGTTGGTTTGAGTGGAGATTGAACAACGACATAGAAACAATGAGATCTATGGAGATCTCAGACTAAGAAACTTTTTGAAAATTCCATCCATATATTTTCAAGACTCTGAGCCTAGGTCAGTTTTTAACAATCTATCAATTATAATTTACAAGTTCCTAGTTTAAAAAATAATCATTACTCTTGAACTAGAACAAACCTTTAGGATCCTGGCCCTCTGAAGATTTATCGATTTATAGGTTCATGGTAATTTTTAAAAGTATTTGAATAAAACTGAAATTTGAAGAAATTTCAAGGAGTTCAGAGGAAAATTAAAAGTTATTTAACCCTCCCACAATCTCAATGATGATATGTAAGGACATTCTGAAATCCCGGTTTCGTGGAAGCCGTGGATTCCGCAAAAATTGGCATTGACCGCAGTAGTAGTGTGCAAAATGCCGCGAAAGATGTTGGAATCGATAATAAGGCTAATGCAAATAATATTACGATCTATGTATAATAGAGTGATGCAAAATTTGAAATTTTCGCTCCACAATACTTAAACGATTCCAAATAGGATCCTGACTAACCTCTCAAAATTTGAACCCATTTGGTGAGAATCTGAGATGGCACAAACCATTTGAAGTTTGTATGGGAATTACTATGGTAAAACCAAGATTTTTGTTCAAGTCTATCTAATAATTCACCATATCGGTCTGCTTCAAAAACTTTCAACTGTACTTGTAGTAAATTTTCCCAGCTACAACTTTGCTCAAGACCACTTTTTGATTAAATGCAAGAATCGAAAGTTATTAATGGTTCAATGCGTGGATGTCTTATGATCATGCTCAATCAACTGCTCAGCAGGCAACATTGGTGTTTCTGGGGCGTTGAATAGGACACAAAAATCATGGCTACTATGTCACACTGCAAAATACAGTGTTGCCTACAGAGCAGCTGCTTGATCATGTCATAAGTTTACCAATCTCTTAAATAATCAATTACTTTTTTCTGTCTCGTTTTACATAGAAACGATCTTCAGCAAAGTTGTAGCTGAGAAAATTTTCTATAAGAATGGCTATCGAGCTCTTTCGCAGCTCAATATGGAAAAATACTAGAAGGCAATGAACAAAAAGTTGAGATTTCCCATAGTAATTTACATGTAAAATTCAAATGGCTTGTGCGAAGTCTGTTTCTAACCAAATGAGTTGTAACTTTTGGAGGCTAATCAGGACCCGATTTGAAACCATTTAAGCACTGTGGAGCGATAAAGTCAAATTTTGCATCAGTCTAATGTATAATCGATCTGATATATTCTACGGTAGAACATTTACAAAACAACGCGTACGCCATTTGAGATGAAGTATGGACCAAACAATGTGACACGTGAAGGAGTGAAAATGTTAATTACGGTTCTATTTTCGAATAATCGAATGAAAAATTAAAGGGTTGTGTCCTATACATGACCGCAGTATGGCGTAGAACCACGCAAAATTGATGTATATGTCATGCATTTTTGACTATATTTTATCTAAAAAATTTCAAGTAGGGGAATTTACGTATTCTCGGCAACCTAAGCAGCGACCTTCTTTCTATAGCCTTTTTCTCTAAGGAACGCACACATATGCAGTATTGGTTTGTTTACAATCTTTTGCTGCCAGCTGCTCTAACAATTTCAGTCGAAAGAATTGTCAAAAACTGTTTTGAAACGCTTTTACAAAGCTCCAATCTTCTCTAGTGAGAGCGAGTATTGTCGGCAACCAGTTTTTCTTCGGCAACCGTTCCATTTGAACTGCATGTAAATCTGGTGTTCTATTATCGGCAACTCTAAATTAGCTACAATTTGTAGTGCGTGTGTTTCATTTCAAGAAAACCCTGCCAGATTGCTTTTTCTCAGTGGTAAAAATATAGTCAAATTGAAGCTGAAAGCATAAAGAATCGTTTGCATGCATTCAGCGAAGTGTTTTCGTAAGAAAATCCAGTGAAAATAGTGTTTCAATTTGGGTTGCCGAAAATAGTCTGTCATGCCGAAGCCGTCATTTCCCCTATATCAATGTTTCGGTTATGGTTCACTTTTTTTTCCTTCCTACCTATCGACCCATATACTTATGAACCGGTTTGGCACATATAACAATTCCGCGTTTTGGTTTAGTGAAACGGGACCCAAGGCTCATTCCTAATTGTGAGAATTGATCACGCCGTCCACCTTTAGCCGCTGACTTGGTCCTGCTTGTTACAGGACCAAGTGTCTCTGAACCTTGCCAGGATGAATACTCTCCGTTCTTCTAATATCTGAAGACCAGCCAGGAGGTGGATCTCAGAATTTCTAGTCCACGGGGGACTTCTTAGGACCATCCTAAGGATCTTGTTTAGGATCCTTTGGAGTTTAAGGTGATGGCATTTTGCGCAACTCTCCCAGATTGGCATACCGTACTCGATTACAGGAAGGATGATTTGTTTGTAGACAGCAAGCTTATTTTTCAGGGACAGGGTTGACTTCCTGTTGATGAGTGGATACAACGATCTTATCAAGATGTTGCACTTGGTTTTCGTTTTGTCAACGTGCTCCCTGAAAAGAAGCTTGCTGTCTAGTGTTAGCCCGAGGTAC